AGTTCCATTGGGAAATAACTCAACTGCAGAATGATCCTTGAGAAAATCATGTCCTGATATTATGTCCGCACAAAGATTCTTCATGATCAATAGTTTGACATCCTTGTAGATTTGTTGGTTCAGTTTGATATCAACGACGTATTTTCCTTCTACTTCAGATATCAAGGATACGGATGCAATATGGATTCGTTCATTTGAAAAACTCGTTTTGAATTTATAGAGGTGGGCGCAGGTAGCATTGATGTAACTTGTTGTGCTATCAGTATCTACGAGTGCTGTAGCTTTGATTCCATGGACGAATACGCAAACTTTAGCTTCATCAAGTGATGCATCAACTATGTAAGATATATGTATGCGAGCAAGAGAGTATTTCAGCAGCAGACACCATTTTTGCGTTATATTTCTTGCTTCGACAAACTTTGGGAAAATGTCCACGTTTTTGACAAGTTTTGCATGTTACATTGGCAGCTGGACATTCATAACGAGGATGTCTAGAATAGCCACAGAAGAGATACTCATTATCGACTTCAGAAGTAGTTGCAACTGGCAACTCTTAGGGAAGATTCATTAGGTATTGCATTTATGAATGATGTATCCAAAATATTGAAGTTATCAGAGTGACGTTGGGCCATTTCCAATGATCTAGCTTGATCGAATGCTTCGTCGAGCTTGAGCGTTTCATTTTCCAGTAATCGTTGGCGTATAGCAGCCGACAAAAATCCCGTAATGAATGGATCTCTCATAAAGTCATCCTTATTCTCGTCAGCTGTGACAGATTTGAACTCACAGTCTTTCGCTAACAATTTGAGTGCTTTTAAATATTGATCAACATTCTCTTCTGACTTTTGGCATTGCGTTGCAAGATGATGTCAAGCGTATATCACATTCTTTTTCTTCAAGTAAACAGAATCGATTACTCTCAGGGCAGTTTCGAAATCTTCACATTCATTTATGAGGATGTATACACTTAAAGCAACATGATTGATTGGTAGTTGTAGTTCGACTTCTTCTGATTATTTCCCTGTTCGTACAGCAAGAAAATTTTTGGAGGTTTGTTTCCAGTGGACCCATTCCGAACTTGCAGAATTCGAGTTTGGATCAGCTTCGAAACGTTCTGGGCGTGAATATCTATTTATATAAATTATTATGGAAATTTTTGCTCAATAAATTGTGAAGAATATTTGAACCAAGGATTGGCTTTATTGAGCAAAATGATAGACATATCAGAATATAACAATATGACGAATAATCGGTGATTGTATGAAGGGAACATGTCCAACATGGACGATTCCAAGAAAATTGAAAGAAACGCTTCATCACACAAATAGTAAGTCAAACTTCAAAATGCAGTACAGAAGAAATGGAGGGACAAGTATCCCAAATACAATGAGGTATAACATAATGAGCTGAGATGGAACATAAAAGTGACAGGTGATTTTTTAACAGCTGGATTTGTTTCCTTTATACAATAAACCGTATTCTCATGCAAACATAATGCAAATAAAGGCAATGAAACAGTGATGCAGAATATAGGAACAGCTTCGAATTGTAGAACATCAAAACATATTTTATTAACAATTTATACATTATGTTTATTCAGAATCGTACTCCAAGGCAGTAGTGGGCCAATTTTCAAATTGAGAGTAGAAGGGTTGATGTTCGTCAGAAATAAACTTGATAGATAGATAGATAGATAGAAAATTTAATCCATTAAATGAGCTCAATAACATAGCTATTGGACAGGTCAAAGGCTAAAACTAATTAAAATTAAATATAACAAATAATACAATTAACACCAGGTACACAAATTCATCACATGTAAACTTTACTACACAAGACTATTTAAAAAAAAAGGAAAAGCTAACACACTTCTGAATTCATTTAAAATATTCATAAAATTCAGCTATTGTGTATGGGCTAATTTCTAAAAGTAACTTACATAACATTTTCTTGAAGCATTGAACTGAGTTGATATTCTTCAAGGCATCGGGAAGAACGTTATATAATCTCAGTCCCAGAATTTTATATGACTTCATACAAAGTGTGAGGTGTGTGTTAGGGATATGAAAATCATTTCTTGTTCTCGTATTATGTTCGTGATAGGATCGATTTCTTGTAAAAGAATTTCTATTCTTATGAACATAAACTACGAGTTCCAGAATAAAAAGTCCAACCAGTGGTAAAATTTCAAGTTTTTTGAAGAGGCTACGACATGAGAATGTAGATGATACTCCTGCAATCGATCTAATGATCCTTTTTTGAGAAATGAATACGTCCTGTACGCCTGTTGAGTTTCCCCATAACATTATTCCATATGATAATCTAGACTGAATCTGACCAAAGTAATATTGTTTCAGACCTCGATTATCCAAAACATTTCTGAGAACCCTGATTTGGTAACATTTAGAATTCATTGATTTGCTCAGCTTACTGCAGTGAATACTAAAAGATATATTGCTGTTCATGGTTATACCTAGAAATGTAGTACTTTTTGAAGTCTCTACTTTGGTATCATTGATACTAACCGTTAGCTTCGACAGGTTATGATTTTGGGAAGTGTGAAAAATCAAACTGGTAGTTTTTGTGGGATTCAGAAACAGAGAGTTATCACTTAACCAAGTACATAAGATAGACGTTGTTCGGTTTATTTTATCTTGGATTTCTGCTTCATTTTTACTTGTGAATAATAATGTGGTATCGTCTGCATACATGCATGTGAATGCTTCTGAAATAATTGAGGGTAATTCGTTGATATACAATAAAAACAATATTGGACCTAAGATTGATCCTTGAGGAACCCCAATATCGTTATGCAGAGTATTCGAAAAATATGAAGATCTGGTATTTTCATCAACATAGTTTATTTTCACATTTTGGTTTCGATCTCCCAAATACGACTGAAACCATTGATGTGATATCCCTCTGACGCCTATTTGATATAATTTGTTCAGCAATTGTGTATGATTGACACAGTCGAAGGCCCGACTGAGGTCACAAAAAACTCCAAGTGGAGTTTCCCCTGCCTCAATTGCTTCTAGTATATTTTCATATAAACTCAATACTGCTGTAATAGTAGAACGTCCTGTTCGAAAACCATGTTGCTGTTCATGTAGAATATTATTTTTATCAAGAAATTTGAGTAGCTGTGCCAACATTGCATATTCAAAAACTTTTGAAATCACAGGGGGTATTGTTATTGGACGGTAGTTATCCATACTCCCAGTATTGCCTTTTTTAAATACTGGGGAAACAGTTGCATTTTTTAATCTAGATGGAAAAATACCTTGACTCAGAGATGCGTTTATTATATGTGTCAAAGGTTTCAGTATAAACGGAGCTATTCTTTTCAAAAAATTGCTCGAAATCCCGTCTGTTCCAACAGAGTGCTTATTTTTCATATTTTGAACGATAAAAGCAACCTCTCCTTCGGTTATGTGTGATATAAACATGCTATTCAAAATGTTCCTGCTATTTTTATTATAATCAGACCTGTTTATACATTTAATATTATTTATGATAGTATGGGGAGCCTTAATAAAATGGTTATTGAAGGAGTTGGCAATTATAACAGGATCATCTACTGGAGTATTGTTAATTTCGATAGATATATTTTTTTGACATATGGATTTTCCAGTCAATTTTGAAATTACATTCCATGTGGATTTGTTGACATTATCTGAGGAGTAGATTTTATTCAAGTAAAATGCACTCTTAGTATTTTTCACTAATAAATTATGTTTTTTCTTCGATTCATTGTAGTGTTTTCTGAAATTTAAATCACTCTTCTGAATATTGTATAACTTCTTCAAATTGTAGCTTGAAGATCTGATATCATTATTAACCCATTCTTTACAGTTGTGCTTTGTAATCTTAACTGGCTTCAGTGGACATGTTGCGTTGAAATGATGAATGAGAGTGTCATGGAAAATATTGAATTGAATTTCTACTTCAGACATCTCTTAAATATCATCCCAGGATTCATTTGATATAAGAGAAATCATATTTTCAATATTCTCTTCACTCACATTTCTTCTGAGACTATGAATATGTGTTGATATTTTTTGGGAACTTGAAGTTGAAAAAAGAACAGTACGATGATCTGAGATATTATTATCATAGACACCCCACTGCTCATCGTTAACTGAGAAATTGGTATAGATCTGATCTATAATAGTTTCCACAGTACTCACTCTCGTTGGCTTTTGAATTCTGGCAATGAGATTATAAGATGTCAGTAAATGAGAAAAATAATTTCTATCATTAACGTTCATCGAATGAGCATTAAAATCCCCAGTGAGGATTATGAGAATCTTGGAGTCGAAAATGTAATCTAAAAGTTGATTCAATTTTTGTACAAAAATGGGGAAATTTCCACTTGGAGAACGGTAGCAAGTGAGAATCACGATTTTCTTTTTTGGAATGTCAGTTTTCCATACTAAACCAGCTATTTCAATATTCTTTTCATCACAATATCTATCCAAGCAAAGCGGCTCAATGTTGAGACCACATTTCGACCAAAGGCTAACTCCACCACGAATGCTCTTTGTTCTACAGTAATGATTAGACAATTGAAAATCAGGAAAAATGAAACTTTCGAAACTATCAACATTACACCAAGTTTCAGTCAAACATATGAAGTTGAGGTTTTTCCCATTCAAATAGTCAATGACCATGTTGTCTAGTTTGTCTTGGTTCAAACCTTGAATATTCAGCAGTAATAAGTCAAAACAGTTTCCCCCACTTTTTATGTTTTCTGGATCGGTGGTGGTTTTCGAAGCTCTAAAAAACGCTGAATATATGCGCCTTCGGGCCATTTGGATGGATCCATAGCTTCTTCGTAGTTTTTCTGGAATATGCTTACTTTGAAAGAAGAGTAGATGTCCGGATGCTTGGCAGAAAGTGCTTCACATTTCACCTCGGGAAAATATGATTTTACATATTCCTTCATATCGTTAGCTGTCATGGAGGGATCCACTCTATATATATGTAGATTTGCATACCTAGGGACAGTTTTTACATCCTTTCCATTTATTTTAATGGAGTTGTTGTTTCCAACAACAACATGTCTCTTTTGCTTTTTCCTTGTCACTGGCGTGAAGCCGTCATTTCTTATTATATCTTCTGCAGATGTATCCTTATTCAAGTTGATTATTTCACTGCATTTTTGTTCAGTAGTAGTTTGCATTATGGCAGTAGATAACTGTTCCTTGGTGAATCCCGAGTAATTGGATGATCCGGCAACGTTGCATTTCGGGATAACTGTTTTTGAGTGAACATCTGGCTTGACCATATCTGCATAGTTTTTTGTGGCTTCTTGTTTTTTCGGAATTGACTGTGGCGAAATCGTTTTTGTTATCAACTTGGGATTCGACGTGACCTTGCTATCATTCATCATCAAGATTTGAATTTGTTTCCGCAATCCACTAATAATTAGATCTTTTTGTTTCAATATATAAGTGAAGATATTGATATCTATCTTGTTATCTGTACTTAGGTTTTCAATGGCATCAAAGAAAGCTTGATCCTGGTCAGAATCTATGTTCTTTTGGTCAGTATTGAGCTCACTGCAGCACATTATGTTATCATCACTAATCAAAATCACTTCGTCGTTTTCACGACAGATACTATCGGCACACCTCGAATGGTAGTAACTTTTGCAGTTTATACATGTTACACCATTTACAAATTTCTTATTGCATCTCTTGCAAATCTTGTTGGATTTAAGAGATACATCCGCCACGACCGAACTGCTCGACGCCATGACTCGCCAGTCATAGATGATTTTCTCTTTGCCTTGATCGGCACTTTTTGTGTGTATGCTCGGTCATCAGGTAACTGTGGTGTATTGGCTGTTTTTGCTATGTGATCTTTTGCAATGACGGAACCAGGTGTAGAACTGTTATAAATGAAGTGTTTGTACATAGAAATGTTGAATTTCTGGCTATTTTACCCTGGTCCCCTCTTCCTAGTAATGGTTCCTGTATAGGTTTTTTAAAAATATTATCTCTTGCAGTCCAGTATATCTTCGGTTTGAACTAATTTGACGACAAAATATGATCGAGTTTTTTTTGCATTAGCGATAATAGAAATATGTTCCATCGGTGTAAAACAACAAAATAATATCAATAATAATATTTTAAATAATGTTGCTTGAGTCAATACATCATGCATACAATAATTTGAAATTACTTATAATGGTTGCTGTCAAAAGACCGCTTGCAACGCCCTCACATTGAGTGTATGAAGGGAACAAGTAGTGGATTTATTTCCTTTATACAGTCAACCAAAATTTTGTGACGCTTGAATTTTCAAATAGTGAATCGGATTTGTCTCTTTCATAGACTCAACGGTGCACTGACTTATCATCTGAAATATGTATATATCACTTTATTCTGACCAAAAAGTGGAGTTGTTTCCTTTATACAATAACCGATTTAATGTCACAACTAAAAGTACAGCATGTTTCATAAACTAGATGAAGATGATTCATCACACTATAACTCATTGAAAGGTGACTCCTGAACATGATATTGCTAGAATATTTCTGGAACGCATTTTATAATAATGATAGAATGCGATAAAATGATTCGATTTGGTGCTTCAACTGAACTTTCCAAGCCCAATGCAGTGAAATTAAAATCATTCCTGAATTCCATTTAGGTGTGTGAAATACAAAGTGAGACAAAATCGAATATTGCTCGAACTTTTTTGTATGCATTTTTCTCGACCATGTATTCTCGACTTCGCGCACCTGTTCAGAAAAAAAGTGCTACTGTTCAGATGTATCACATTCGAGTAAAATCAATATAACAATATCAGTACATTCCAAATTTTATGCACAACGATGACAATTTTAAAATTATGGGGCCATTAAGAAGTCAACTTTTATCTTTTCAAGAAACAATGTCTAAGAGACGAAAACGTGAAAAAATTAACTTCAATTTTGTACATTTTTTTCCATATCTACTACAATTCGCAATATTCTGCAAATTATGTGGGATGTATTTATATTTTCAGATCGATTCAACTCAAGGATAGAACATCTGTTTGATATTGAACCAGAGGTTTCCTTCTGAAGAGAGGGTGGATATTTCCGAGATTCAATCATCGAAAAATATGCATACAAAAAAGTATGGGCAATATTTGATGTCTTCCCACTCTGTATCATAAACTATCGAGTGGAAGTTCCCGATGATTTGATCATCAATGCATTGAGCATGAAACGTTCAGTTAGCTCACCAAATTGCATCATTTCATTATATGGCGTTTCGGAAATAATCAAGAAATATCATCTTCTGTAGCCCGCTTTCAGGGGGCCGTAGCGTCCTAAGGAGACATTTATCGACTTATCTGCATTGGAACTTTTCCTATGTTTGGTCGTGGAAGCCATCTATGAAGTTTGGCAGGATGATTTTGAGACACCTTGAATATTGTTGTCATCTCTTTATTCACTTCTGGTTTTGATTCAAATTCTCAATTCAATTGAATGATCACAGGAATCTGGAGTATTCGTAAAATATTGATTTCATTCCTAAAATCAATATATGGATGATGATTCGTGTGCAATAATGGGAATATAATAGTTGAAGTGGAATAGTAAAAGTTCGGATTACACAAAAATTCAGGATATTGTTGTTGGATTGAGAATTAGATGGAACACTCCAAAAATACTCACACGTTATCCATTTTTAAAGTCGAATGGGTCTTGAACTTCCAGTACAGTAAATTCTGATTACAGAAATGCTAGTTTTCTATTTCTGAGACTATTTTTATTTTCCCAATTCTGGACTACTCCAGGACGATGATTCGTGTGCAATAATGGGAATATAATAGTTGAAGTGGAATAGTAAAAGTTCGGATTACAAAAAAAATTCAGGATATTGTTGTTGGATTGAGAATTAGATGGAACACTCCAAAAATACTCACACGTTATCCATTTTTGAGTTCAAATGGGTCTTAAACTTCCAGTACAGTGAATTCTGATTACAGAAATGCTAGTTTCCTATTTCTGAGACTATTTTCATTTTCTCAATTCTGGACTACTCCAAGTGGATACCCGCATTTATATCCAGTGAAGGTGAACACATCATTGTTAATTCAAAACTATTCACGTACCATAACTATTAAAGTAACGTAAATCACTATGAAAATTCTATTTGGGATTCCACTAGGATAATTGTGTTCAGAACCCTAGTTCAAATACCACCACTCGGATTATTCAAACATACTATTCATTTGGCTTTATTATATGAAATTCGATAAGAAACTGAACTATTGAAACTGAAAACAAATCATTTTTTCCTGTTTCCTTTGCGACAATAAAAGTGTTTGCTTCCAAAGACTCTCAAAATACATTTCTGGTTGAACCCAAAAATATGTCAGGAAAAATTGAATCAATATCTTGATGAATTTGGCGACGGTGAACATCCTACTAGAGATAGCTATTGACAAACTCATGAATATCCCACAATTGAGTGGATCTCTAGAATAGAAAATGTAGTCAATACCAAATATTTGGTAGGAATTCATTGTGAATGTCTGTCATCAATCTGGCCCTATTTAGACAAAAAGTTACAACCAACCAACTGTCATGCGGATATGATAAAATAGCGTACATACTTGAAGTAAAGCGTATAGAGGACGAAAAGAACTAGAAACCTGACCAGAAACATCGAACAACACTGAACTCATTTTCATACATTCAGAATATGTATATAATATGTAGTCTGGTTTTTGCGCATCACCAGTTTGCGCAAAATCCCACTGATTTCATCACTTTGATATCAACGTTCAACATCGAATTTGTATAATATATGTAATTATTTGATACACTGAGTACTTGGAGATTGAAACGTTGAAAGTATGATATGACCAGTGGGGTGAAATAGCTCAGACTCGTCGATTTCCTTATTCAGATGCGCATTACTTGGTTAACTCTGAATTCAAAAACGCCATCACTGTTCGAGTCATGACTTTGTTATTATTTTTTCCAAATGGCAATACCTTTAAAAAAGCGCATATTCTTGTATGGACGTCATATTCTCTCTGAATTGTTTCTTTCATCACATAACCGTTTGTTTGGGAAATGGAGATGATTCCATTCAGTATGTTGTGATTCACAGTGATGCCGTCATCAAAAATATGAGTAGACCTTCAAATGCGCATCTGGAAAAGATAATCCACGTATCTATCTAAGCATATTTTTCAAGGACCATATTGAACGTTTCATGAATTTTTATTATCCTACACGTGTTCACTGTCAATATTAATCAGAGATGTATGGAAAGATATCAATGCGAATGAGAAATCGACTCTCAATATTGACAGATCCCGTAATTTCAGTCACAATGTTCATCGTTCAACAGTTCAACAGTATACAAATTACCAAAGGACTGAAGATGTGACATGATTCTTTTTTATAGGGATCAAATGGGTCACTTCAGTCGCCTGATATACAGTGTGGTTATTCAAGTGTGCAACATATGGGAATCTTTTTATTGAATTGCACTACGAAAATACAGATAGTGGCGAAAGTTGGTGCATATTCGATAATCATTTATTGTGCACTTAGAATGGTTGCAAGTTACACAACATACAGGGTAGGTCAAAAAATATAAAAATTGCTCAGGAGTAAAGTACCCTTATTTCAAAAAATTCAGTGAAATGTTATTGAAAAAAGTTGTTCACAATTGAAAGTTATGCCTAGATACCAAAACATGCCCCCCTAAAAAATTCTTCAGCTTTTCAATTCTGTTCGTTAATAATTTTCCAATTTGTGATATTTTAAATACAAAATGTGCACTTTGAATGGAAGTTTTTGGATATGCATATTATTGTGGGGATCAGCCGGGGTAGTCAACTAATAAGGCCTGATAAGTTTACCAACTTTTATCGTCAGAAAAAACCTGTCAGAATCCACAACAAATCATAACAAGACAACCTATCTCAAAATACCGAGTGAACGGTGTTCCTCTTGCATATAGTCTATAATGCCGATCGAGTCATCGCCACAGTACCCCCCCCCTTCCACTGATTGACAATCACGGAATCCCTGCTTGCATACGGTCGGGGGCACGAACTATCCTTCCTGAGCGCGAGGATTGTGTGCGTCCTGTTTCGAATGGTTCCTGAATAGGTGATGAAGTATCTTGCCTGATCTCTGGGCGACTCATCAACTCATCACCATGGGCATGACGTGTGGTCATGCATGACGGTGGTCGAGTTTGATGTGAGTCATTTTCGGTTAACACATAGGCAGGCTTCAATCGGTCGATCGAGATCGTAACGTCTTTTCCGTTGATTCGTATTACGAGAGTTATGTTTTGTCGGCTAATAACTTGAAAAGGTCCATCATATGGCTGCTGGCTCCTTCACTCCGATATGACGCACGAAGACGTAATCGGAGGTAACCAGGTTTTTGAACACGAATGATCGCTTTTGGCCGTGTTGACTTCCTTGGACCGGACGGAATTCTCGGAAATGTTCGCGTAATTTTTTCACAAATCCTCCAGCTTCTGTATTCACTGACGGATGCGAGACGAGACGAGACCAGCTCTGCAGAGGTAGCTTTCAAGTCTTCTTTCCAGGCTGCTCGAATCCCCATGAGAACGGTTGGTAGTGCCTCTGTCCAACGTGAATTTTGGTGGCATTTGATTGCTGATTTGAGTGGACGATGGAACCTCTCAACCATAACGTTCGCTTCTGGGTGGTAAGCAGTTGTTCGTAAATGGGACGTTCCTGTCAAGCGATTCAGTGGCTTAAACAGTTGAGATTCAAAGTGCCTTCCTTGGTTGGTCGGTAGTAATGCGTAGTGGTGTGCCAAATCGAGTAATCCAGCCTCCGTAGAATGCCCTGGCAACAGTTTCGGCCTCTTGGTTCTCCATCGGAAAGGCTTCAGGCCATCTAGTGAAACGGTCCACACAGGTGAGGCAATATCTGCATCCTTCGGAAGTTGGCATTATCACAATGTCGATATGCACATGTTCGAATCTGGCTGATGGTGCTGTGAATGAACCTCGCGGTGCCGAAACATGTCGTGAGACTTTGTTCCGCTGACATTGGATGCAACTGCGGGCCCACTTTCTGCAGTCGGAATTGATGGACGGCCAGACGTACCGCTGCGTCACAAGTTTGACGGTCGCGTTGATTCCAGGATGTGCCAACTAGTGCACATGATTGAACACTGCTTGGCGAAACTCTTTTGTGACGAATAGTCGCGGTTTTGGCGTTGGAATATCGCAGAAAATGGTGACGTTTGTTCCAGGTATCAGAATATGTCTGAGTTGTAAGACACTCCCCTCTTATGAATACACCTTTATCTCTTCGTCTGCTAGTTGATCTGCTGCCAGTGCTTCAAAATCTAGGAGCGTTCCAATTTAATCGATTCGAATAAGATTATCTACAACTACGTTATCTTCTCCGGAAATATGACGTATATCTATGCTGAACTGTCCAACGAAATTCAGATGTCGAAATTGGCGTGGAGTGCACTTATTTGCTTTCTGGCGAAAGGCGATGGTAATTGGCTTATGATCAATATAGATGGTGAACGTTCTTGCTTCCACCATGTGCCTGAAGTATTTAATGGAGAGATATATCGCTAGTAGTTCGCGATCATATGCGCTGTATTTCTGTTCAGCTGGGCTGAAATGTTTTAAAAAGAATGTCAACGATTCCCAATGACCACCAACAAGTTGCTGTAGTACTGCTCCAGCAGTGTGATCGGATGCATCACAGACGACGTCGAGGTGGCAGTTAGTCTTTGGGTGTGCCAGTGACGCTACTTTGGCAAGCTTATCTTTACATTTATGAAAAGCTGCTGTTGCTTCTGGTGTCTAGTTGACAGGTGCATTCCCTCTTGTTTTACCTTGCGAAAGTTTATTGAGCGGTGCTTGTATCTCGGCTGCCTTGGGTCAGGTACTGGAAATGCCCTGATGGCATCAACTTTTTCTGGCAGAGGACGAGTAATAATAATAATAATAATATATATTTCGGAGAATGTTTTACATTTTACAGAAAAGACAAAAGAAAAACATAAAACGAAACAACGTCAACGTATTTTGTACATGGAAAATAGTACCCTCATTAGAAACAAGGTAGCCTAGAAACTTCACCTCTGACCTACCAAATGAGAATTTAGCAGGATTGACAACCACGCCGTAGGCTTTGAGGCGTTTGGAGAGTATATTTAGGTGATGCAGGTGCACGTCTTTTGAAGCTGGGGCAATCAAGATGTCATCGATGTAAGCATAACAAAATTCCAGACCATATAACACTTCGCCGATGAACCGCTGGAAAGCCTGGGTTTTTCCCCGGAGCGATTGTGTGAAATCTTGTATGTGCCGAACTGAATAGCCGATGGAATGCGACACCTTGTGATTATGCCCTGGCTGGTACGATTTGCGATCTGATCTACTAGTTTTCGATGTAGCACATCGACGAGTAATCCAAAATGTGCTAAGAAATCAACACCGATAATAGGCTTGGATACGTCGGCAATGACGAAACTCCGAGTAAAATCACGCTCTAGTCCAAGATTGAGCGTCATGGATATAGTGCCGTATGTTGCGATGCTTGTCCCATTAGCTGCGGATAATTCATTGGTCGTCTTTTCACGACGCTCTGGAACACGACTACGTGGGTACACGCACAAGTCAGCACAAGTATCGATGAGGAATTGAACCTTGGAATCGTGGTCTGTAACAAAAAGGTGGCGTGATGTAGGACAGGGTTCGCTTGCCGCCATCAGTGACTGCCCTGCTCGTTTCCCGAATGGTAGGTGCATGGTTGCCCGCACTTTCTTGCATCTGCACCAAATCGTAGATGGTACCAGCATAGACCTTCTCGTGTTGGATCACGGCTTGACATGACATGACATGAGGAATATGAGGATGGGTTACTGAGGTACGTGGATTTATAGCCCTATGGTTACCTTGGCCACGGATTTCTTTTCGAAGTACTGCAATTTCCTGGCTTGAAGGCAAAGTGAGCTGCTGTATTTTCTCGTTCAACTGGGCGTCAATGTTTGCCGTGGCAGCCTCAGCGACGACTAGAGGCCTAGAGGGCAAGTATTCTGACATGGCATCGGCAAGTTCTGCGACCTTGTCCAGTTCTGTATCTTTTTGTGTAGCGAGGAATGCCTGCATGTTTCGAGGAATTATACCTATCCACAAAGTCCGGAGAATTCCGTCGGAGCCGACCGAACCCCCAAGACTTCTGAGATGCCTGAGAAGTTTCCGGTCTCCCAACTCCTCGTGTTCGAATAAAAGGCGCGTTTTCTGGTCTTGGGTTGGACTCAGGCGTCTGATGAGTTCATGTTTCAACTTCTCGTGAGCGCCCGTCGCTAGCAGATTGATAATTATATCACGTACCTCTATCGCATATTTGGGGTTGAGTGCACCTAATATGTAACCAAACTTAGTTTTATCTGAAACGATGCCAGAAACCTGAAAGCTTCGTTTTACCATGCAAAACCACATCTCTGGGTTTGTGGGATAGAATGGTGGGATTCTCACGGCGACTGTTACGGTTTTATTTTGCACTACGAATTCTCCGTTATTATTATTCTGGAATCATTGAATTTCGTGTTCTTAAGTATCAGATCGATGTCACACTCGGTATCATGTTCACTGTGCTATATGATAACTTCATGTTATGCTGTATCATGAACTATCTTTCAGTATTTCGCCTCACTGTACTCACCTTTATTTCAAACAATTTCGCATACCTACATTATATTATGTGCTCAGTAAGATATCATTTAGATATAATGATCCATCATTGTTTACTTTATTTTTATTTCAATGATTAAATCAATTGACAATCGATTTCTGACAATTATAAGTCAATATTCAATGACAGAGTTGACAGATAACATGTGAGATATTTTCTTAGTACAGATACTTTCTTTCTGACCCGAGATGGGTCCATAATCCGTCAGCGATAGTTCGTCTTGAGAACACGAATGTCTGCAAGCAGTTGTGAAACCGTAACTTTTTCCTCAGCAGCAACACGAATAGTTGTTCATCAAATGTTTATCCGGATGGTGTAAGCACTGATCAGATTTTGTTTGTCGAGTATTTATTCCGGATGAATATCAGTTTAGTTCGAGATCTGAGTAAATGCCTTAGTGGTTGTTATAAACTTTAACTGAGTGTAGGATCCGAACTCACGATAAAAAGTTTCATGGATGATTTTACACTTGGAATCTGCTCGCACCATCCTTATAAATTATTCAGCGCCAGCCATCAGTCATCACGAAAATACTGTCGTTCATTTAAGTTTAATATGTCACAGAACTATTCTCAGATTCCTGTATGATCTAAGGAATCAGTTTCGCGTATAAATCACTATAAACCGATGCAATTGACAGCAGTGACATTTCATATTTTTGATATCTGACTGACATTTCAATTTTTCACTTTTGATTCTTCCTTGGTACTTGTGGGAGTGTATGGCCGATTGAAATATCTCCATCGAATTATTCGATCATCTCTGTATGGATTTCGAGAATTTCAACATTATATGATTCATTACGTATCGGACCAATATTGGATGTTTGTATTTTGAATGAAATCATATTTTCTGCTCTGCAGGATATAAAGCCAAAGTAAGTTTTTTTTTTGAGGTTAATATTTTCAGACTTGTAAGTTTCTTTTTATAACTTCAGAGCTCCTGTCTTGTATATTCAACAAGTACCATTGTGGAAATAACTGACACAGACAATTCACAACATCGGGATTGTTAAAATAACCCTCAGCTACAAAAGAGGTTAGTATTATCTTTGTCAGTCAGCATGATCATTATGCAATCAATTGAAGTGAACTCAGACTAGTATTGTTTATTTTTAGGGTCCTACTCCTAGTCCTAGTCTTAATTCTAGTCCTACTCCTAGTTCTTGCCCTAGGCATAGGCTTCATCCCACTACTAGTACTCTAGTACTACTGTTCATCCTAGTCCCTGGTCATTGTATGTCTGGACCATAGACTTGTGCTGGTATCTATCATATACATCTACACTACTTGTCAAGAGTTTTTTTTTTCATTGGTTAACAAGAATACCTGCAGTTTTTGCTGTGTCTTCGACAACAAGCAGTCTACCAGTTGAGGCCTGATTGCCTTGACCAGAGAGAAGAGGGAGTCAATCATAAGTAACACCATAGGAGCTCCACTGAGCATTCAGATAAGTCTGTCACACCATAAAACCTAAGGGAATGCCCCATATACCTGTATAAATTTTACATTCAATATTAAGCTGTAAGCTATCCCCGTGACGTCACATGAATAGCCCTTCTTAGGACCTTCCCTATATTTGTATCAATTTAATATACAAAACTATATATATCTGAAATCTGAATGCTCCCTTGAATGCCACTTCACTTACATAACTATATATGGTGTTATCATATGATTTGAATAGATAGTTTCAAGGTGTATGACTATTATTTCTTCATTAATCAACCCCAGGGTACTTGTAAATTTTACCAGATATTTGTAAATTATTGACTCTACCGATAGCAGTGGTTTATCCCTTTCATCAGGGTGGTTTCTGATTTTGGCTAGCGAAAAATCAGTGGCGCACCGGAAAATTTACCCCTTCATTATATACTGTTACTCATATAATTCAAAAATATATGAACCGTACCCACACCCTAACTGAGCAGCTGGGAGGGTTAGTGGCAAGTACTTTATCTTTTGCATGAACCCTGCTTATCAAAACCTTGCCCTTAACAGATTGGCGCCCACCTTTTTTTTAAGTGAAATACTGGTAATTATTTCATTTTTCTTTATCAGGTACCTTGGGTTGGATAATGTTTTTTTTTATAATTTGAAGAAAACATAGTCATAGTACCTATTTATTTTCTGAATTGGTGATAGGAAATCAATATTTCTGATTTGATTATCTTTTTTCTGATTTGAGATCCTACATCCAATTCTTTTGAAAATTGAGATTGAAAACCTCTGATAGGTACTACCCTTGTTTTGTGTTTTGAAAATTGAGGTGTGACTTGAGAATTTTTTTCGCTTTAGTTTTGCACTTGACTTCTGGTAGACTATTAGTATAGATCATTTCGGCGTCTACAGAAGTGCTTGTGATTTTTTTTGGTTTGTGGAATTTTTGGTATTCTCAAGGTCACTTTTCATTTTGTCAAACATTTATTTTTGAGAATAGCTATTGCTGATTCTCCGCACGATTTTTTTCGTCGTATTTTGAATTTTGCTTTTTTCAAGTTGGATTTTTTTTTAATTTTACGTCGCGACGCCTACCGACGCCCAGCGTCGATTATTAAAAAGTGACTAATCTCGATATATTTTGGGATTGTGGTCATTTCTAAACTATTTTCAACTACCGACGCTCACCGACGCCAACCGACGCCAGACGTCGTTTTTCTAATTTTTGTACTTTCTTACATTTAGGGTCATTGTGAGTAAGATTTTGTACGTTTAATTTTTTTTCGGTGATTTTTAAGATTTTTTTTTGAAATGACTTCGACCAAAATAAAATTAGATGTTGGTTGTTTGACTAGAGAAGAGTTGGTATATGAAGCACAAATTCGAGGTCTTGGTGATGGCACTGATTTAACTGTTGCTGATCTTAGAGTAGCATTGAGGAAAACTCTATCTTTGGAAAAAACTACCCTAGCTATCAAAAGCTCGGCATATCCTTTCAAATTTTCTGAAGATTCTGCAGCTATTTCTGAAAATATTGGTACTTTACAGAATCTTATTGATGATTTCTCAGGCACGGAAAGAGATCACAGATATAAAGGTATATGTTCAAAAATTGCTCATATCTTAGGTCGTATAAATAGGTGTAGTCCTCAAGATGATGCACAGAAGAAACTTAAGGCTGATTATCGAGTGCAATTGTTATTGTTATTGGATAAATTGCAAGAAAAGGCTCGAAAAGGTCATAAGGATCCTTCTGTTATTGATATTTCGGTTTTAAGACAATCTTTAGCAGCACCTAATGCTCATAGCTCTGTTGTTAGCTCTAGTGATTCTTCCAGTGATGAAGATGAGCCTGTGAAAGTTCGACCTGTTCCAGTTCGTGACTGGGGTCTGAAATTTACAGGAAAGCCTGGTATGATGTCATTTTGTACTTTTGTTGAGAAAGTAGGTGCGATGAGAAAGTCACGTGGTATAACAAAATCGGTTTTATTCAGGGATGCTGCGGATCTATTTGAGGGTGATGCATATACTTGGTATAATTTAGTTAAGGAATGGGCTACTGATTGGGAATCTTTGGTTCGATTAATGCGACAGCAGTTCTTGCCTGCTAATTTTGACAAGGATTTATTTGAAGATATTAAACGTAGGACACAAGGTCCTAAAGAGAGCATTGGTTTGTATGTTGCAAGTATGAAAAGTCTCTTTAATAAAATGCAAACTCCTGTGTCAGAAGAAGTGCAGCTCACTTTAATAGTGGAGCGGATTGATCCGTATTATCAACCATTCTTGGCTTTTAGACAAATAGGTTCAATTACTGAACTTATTGAACTTTGTCGTTCCCTTGATGAAAAACGAGACTTAGCAAGATCTTATATACCCCCACCACCTAAGAATAGATCTCTCATTCCAGAGTTAGCTTATGCGTCTTCTTCCTCAGATAATAATTGTAATTCCATATCAGACTTGGCCTCAGATTTAGCTGAAGTATCTGTGGTTAGTTGTTTTAATTGTGGTAGTGACAATCATACATTCAAGGGATGTTTGGCACCTAGAAAGAAATTTTGTTTCAAGTGTGGGAATCATAATGTAACGGTTCGTGATTGCCCAAAATGTTCTAGACCTAGTACAAGTAGATCAAATAATAATCAGAATAGGAATCAAAACCCTAGACCAAGACCATCAAATGGTAATGTTCCGGAAAACTCTGCGAGGAGATCTTAGATGGTCAAGTAATTTCTCCTCAGTCAAATGATTTGACCATTTCTATGTTAGATTCTAGGAAGCAAATTATTCTTGATTATGTATTGTCTACTGTTTCGGGTGATGAACGTCCATACCTTGATGTTTCTATTTTAGGGTGTCCTATAACTGGATTATTGGATTCTGGAGCTTCCAGAACTATTGTTGGTTGTATTGGTTTTGAATTTCTGAAGCAACTGGGACTTAAGCTTGAAAGTTCTGTCAGTGAGTGCAGAGTTGCTAATGGTCAAATTTGTCGAAGTATTGGGTTTGTGACCACGCCTCTGTGCTTAGTTGACAAAATATGTGTTATTGATATTTTAGTTATCCCTGAGTTGCCTCAGAAATTAATTTTAGGTATCGACTTCTGGAGGTCCATGAATATAATCCCAGATTTGAGACAAAGAGTTTGGCATTTTTCTAAAGATTGTCCAGCTTCAATTGAAATTTGTGGAATAGAAGATAATTCGATGCTCTCTCTTTTTCAACAAGAACAACTTGAAGGTTTGGTTGATGAAATGACGGATTTAATGGGTACTTCCTTAGGTAGAACACAC